TTCACGGATTGCACTTCTTGCATGGCCTCAGGCCTTGTGCAATTGCATCATCGGGATCAAGAGATCTCACATCATTGCAGTTGTCCAGCTTAAAGCATGACACACGGTGATAGCACTTGCCAAACGTGGTTGCAAACACGGCGCAGTGACGAAACCTCTTACGCCTGGCAACTGCGATGCTAACACCTGACACATGATCTGTCTCGCCCTCAGTGGTTGTGCTTGAAGTTTCAGGAGGAGGGTCGGTTGACGATGATGCACTCATTGACCTCCGGGGACCTGGCCTGGCCTTCGCTTTGGACCTGGCTCCCCCAATCAAATGACTTGGGCTGGCGATCTCATCTTCTTCATCGGTAGTGACTCCAAGAGGATTACCTGGTGTACCCGGTGCAGGGCCTATGCCTTGGCGCATATTGATGTGGATGTTCAATGGCCGATCAAAACTCTGTGGCATACGTGGTGCTTCATGGTTGGCTGCGTACTGAGACGACCAGGCATTAGCGGAGCCAGGACCCCTCCAACGGGGTCGAAAGGAGGTGAGACCGTGGAGGCGGACCACCTCATGCTAGGGGCCGGTAAGGTACCGGTAGAGGGCATGAGCGTGCCTAAGAAGAGGTATAATAACCCATGACACGGTCCATACGGCCAGCTGGAGACATAAGACTCCACCACGGCCACCGCAAGCCAATAGGCCCACCGGGCGGCATAGCCCACGGAGGTACAAAGAGTGCCGCAGTAAACGAAGCCCATATCGGCTATCCACATAAGGAAGTTCAACCACAGAGCGAAAAACCAGTGGGCGCGGCCACTGTGGCTTCGAGAATCCCCTTGTGTGAAGCTGGCGTTGCCAGCTCTTCCGCTCCAAGGTCATCCTGGGGGAGGAGCTCTTGGAAGAATTGCCAAGCCCTTTCCCAGACCGGGCGCGATTCCACGCCGCGGTCAAGAGGGGGAGAAGGGGGGTCCAAAGGGGGGGTCGGAGACGTACCCCACAGGACCCAGCTCCAATCGTAGGAGGTTTCAGGAGCGGTCAAGTTTGCAGCCATGACTACTGCGACGTGCAGTAGAACTTTCATGTTGCCCCTGGACCTCTAAGACTGTACAACCTACCTACCTACCCAGCTTGAGCCTGCCACACACACATCAGAACCCAACGTACGCAAAAGCTGTACGAATCAGAATCCAACGGATTCCTGGATTGAAGCACGTTTGCCCTGCGGACTGGCCCGGGGCAGTCACGGCCTCTTAACTTGCCCCAGCACGGTTGACAGTGCCAAAACGAAGCACTGTGCAGAGATCCAGGGAGCTTACATGCAAATGACCTCAATCAAGTCTCTGAAGTGAATACGCTCTTGCTTCAGAAATCCACTTTTTGGAAGGCGTCTAACTAGGATGAGATGCGCTGCTGAACCCATGTGACAGTTCTCTTTTGGGCAGCTGCCGGCACGCCACAGATCAGCAGGGCGGCATGTGCTGCACAACCTGAAAGGCGTTCAGGTTTCGGTTTTTGGGACTCTGCGGCACAGAGGTTCCCAGCCAGCTAGGGCCCAGCGAGGGACCCGCCTACAACAGATACCAGATACATTTAATGCCCTGGGCTGAGACAAATCAAAAAAGGGCGTTCGCTTTGAAAGGCGCACCTTCTTCGCTTCAAACTCAGCGCGGCCAACGCCAGGACCGAGGAGACGAAGGGCCCGAACGGCCTCGTAACTTCAAACCCTCATAACTCGCTCGCCTCTTCTCTTGACCTGCTCCAAACAGCACTCCAAAGCGCGCCGCAAGAGTCTCAGCTGCCGGACCTGAACAGTTTTCCAGAAAGGGAGCGACTCCGAAAAGGGGAAAACTCCAAGCACGGGGAAATCCGAACGGAACATCCGTGAAGTCCGTGAGCGAGGCGAGGTGCCAAAGGTCCGCAAACGGGCCTCCGCAACTTTTCTGCTCAGAGATGAAAAACTGTGAGAACTCCTTTGAGTTTGTGGCTGCCTGGCTTTCCTTCCACCCCCGAGACCTGAGCTCAGCTCCGCTGAGCTCCGCTGAGCTGAGCTGAAGTTAAGCTCAGGTCATTTTCACGTCTAGCTCATGTCTAGAGATCTGTGTCTTTTTCGGAGTCTATGGAGTCTACGGAGTCTCCGGCTGAGCTTCCGGGCCAGCAGCTGTGCGGCCTCCTGTCGCTTCAGGCCGCGGCACCGCTGCCAGCTCGAGCCTGAGAGAAATCTTCTTTCACCCTCAGAACGGCACACGAGAAAGGTTGGGACTCTGAGGAAGGAGAGGAAGGCAGGAGAGCAGAAGGAAAGCAGGAAGAGACGCTGAAGGAAGAAAGGAAGGCCTCATGAAGTCTGGGGGTCTGGGAGCCTGGAAGCCGTCCGAGGTGAAGAAACTTCCTTCGCAACGAGGGACGTTGGGCAGCTTCCAGCGGTGTGGCTTCTGTTGCTTCTGCTTCCGCCGCGATGGGGACATCGCCCCGAGTGGCCTCACAGCATGAGGATGTTGCAGCATGCTGCACAACGTTATCACGCTGAAGGTGGTTCGCAAAAAGGCTTTTCCAAAAACCCTCGAAGCCACTTGCAGCTCTTGCAGCTTCCACTGTGCCTGCTGTGCCAAGCCGACGAGGTGCATCTGCTCGGCCTTCAATATGGGTGGTTGTCAAAATTATGGTCCCTTTTTGGATCCCTATTCTAATACGGCACCGAATAATATTTAGGGTACTTTCAGAAGGGACCAGAATTTTGATTTGATAGCCGCCCATTTAAACTTTGAAAATATCCCAAACTTGCTTTTGGAGAGATGAGTCGAGGTGCAAAGGACAGCTGCAGCTTTGGGCTGCGCAGCGAGGCCTCTTCGAAGAAAGGCGAAAAGAAAAAGGGCACACGCATACTCCTACATTGCCTTACATACTCTTTTGCTCATTTCTTCTCTTCTTCTGTCCTCCCTGCTCACCCCCCCCCCCGGGCCAGTGCTCTCTGAAAGCGTTTGTCTTCCGCCCTCCGAAGCGCTTCAACCGCTTCACCCAGGTCCTGGCCAGGTAATGCGCAGAATGCAGAATTCTGCAAATTCGACTTTTCTGGGGAATTCAACGGTGCTCAAGGCTCATGATGCGCACATGCTGCACACATGCTGCACACATGCGCACAGCTTTCTCCCTTCAGAAAGCCCGACAAATGCGAGAAGGCTCGCTCATCTCGCTCCTTGGCCGTGACCAAGGCTGCGAGCGAAGGCGACAGGCCTGCCAGCAGGAGCTGCACCTCCCCGCGTGTCCAGCTGCAGGTGTTGCACAAGGCTTGGAGAAGGCTACTTGCATGACTTCACTTACATTCAACCTTTTGAGAATGACAGCAGACAGAGCAGACAGCACAACTGAACTGTGCATAGCTGACTCACCCCGCGGGCAGAAGTTGTTTCTAGCGTCGCTTTGGGCCTCTTCTTCGGTGTTTGGCTGCAAAGCTGCCAGGAGGCCGAGGCGTTGAAAGGAGCGCTGCCATTGCTTTGCCGCTTCAAACAAGAGCTTCCCAGGCAGCCGAAAGAAGGGCAAACACTTCGGGTCATGCTGCGGATGCCGCGGGTCCGCGCGCTGGAGCCTGCATGCATCATCATTTGGTGCACGCGTCCCCTGTGCGGTTCAGTATGGTTCAGTGTTGTCTTTGGGCTTCTCGGCTCCCCGGCGCTTCTTGGAGCGCATTCGCGATCACGAGCAGAAAGCCTCCAGAATCTTTTAAAGAAATCGAAGAACTTCAAAAAAGAGCAAGACAATGAGTTCAACAAAACGCTTCGTACAACAAAAAACGCGCACTTCGTCCTGCAAAGCCCAGCGCCGCACTGGCCCAGACCTCGGGCCTCAGCTTGTGTCCTCCGAGGAGTCCCTCGAAACATCTTTAAAAAAAACCCTCAAAATTCGAGCCTCCCTCTTCTTTCGTACCTTTCGTACGTGCGTCTCCCTTTTCCCGTCTAAGCTCCCGGGCGGCACAGCCAGCAGCAGGTGCCTCAGTCGGTTGCGAGGAGGAAAAAGGGAAGTCTCTGAAAGAACACTCTCTCTCTCTCTCTCTCACTCTCTCTGCTTTTTTTCATAATTTTCAAAACGTTGGGATTCCCAGCGACAGCTGCTGCAGCAGGCCAAGGCATGCCAGGAAGAGCAACGCCAGGCCCGGTACTTTCAGCCGCCAGCACCTACAGTCACCCTACAAACACGCCTAAACACAATGCTTCACACTTCTGACGCACTTCGCGCATCTCTCAGGCGGTGACGGGAGCAATGCCATGGACGAGTAAGCTGACTCCCCTGACTTCCCTAGCTCCCTGACTGCGTGACTCGTGAATCATGAAAATAGAGTAGAGAGGATCTGCAGAGCTATGATGAAAGGTTAGCGAGGATGATCTATAGGCGAAAGTGGGGCCATGACAAACGCTGCAGGCCTAGCATGACAGCTGCATGGCTTTGCTTGAAGTGATCCGGGATCTCACATTCCACTTGCATCCAGTGCATGCAAACGGGCGCCCGCTTTTTGTTCAAGAGATCTCGAGGGTGAGGTGCCAAAAAACAAGCCGCCACGCTTAGTCTCCCTTCACCCTCACTAGGCTCTCCTTGCCCCTCCCTCTCAGGCCCTCAAGTTATCCTTACATCTCTCCACTGGCTCCGTTTCGCCTCTCCATCTCATTCAGTCTCTTTCAGTCTCATCGCTCTGCTTTACTCTGCTTTGTTCTGCTTTGCTCGCTTCGCGTCTCAGACAGCGGAGGCGCCAGAGATGATTTCACAGAGCTCGGTGGTGATCTTCGCTTGCCGGGCCCTGTTGTACTGTAGCTCAACCTCGAAGCTCGAAGGATCAAATTGAGTCTAGGTACTCTGCACTCCACTGCAGTGGCCTTGCCGTACATCTCCCCGGCGTTCTTGGAGGCGTTCTCCATGGCGTTCATGCGCTGGGCCGTCTCCGTGGTCGTGCCTCGGTCTGGCAGCTCGAAGAGACGAAGGAGAAGAGGTGAGAATTCCAAGGCGAGGGGCTCTGGATCACCGAGCCGTAGATCACGCAGCCATAGTAGAACTCATGCAAGTCCTGAAGCCAAGGGCCCCCCCAAAAAAGAAAGAACAGGTCAGAGGGTCAGAGCTGCTCTCCTGCCAGACTTCATAGATGGAGGGCTCAAAGGAATAGACGTCCATTGCTTTGGTCCATTCCCCCCGGTCCATGCTGGTGGCCTGCTTTTAAGCTGGGGGCCAATCGCTCATGCAGACTAAGTCACTTGTCTCGCTTGCCTCATCGATCGTATAGGTGTGCTTGGCGACGGTGTCGTAGGAGACCATGCTCTTGAACTCGTTGCTAACCACCTGACACTCAGCTCACTCAGCTGCAAACAGAGAACGGAAGACAGAGATTTCTCGAACAAACTGATCTTGCCGCCTTGCCTTGCACCGCGCCTTAGCTGAGTATGCTGAGCATGCAGAGCAAGCTGAGCAAAGCAAAGCAACAAGCAAGGCTTCACCACGCAAACATACACAGAACGAGCTGGAAACACGTCACAACAGCTGTTCACAGCTCCCTCTCTGACTCTCTGATTCTGTTCCAAAGGGCGGGCTTGCTGGCCGCGAGCCGCTCAGCGATCACGGAGGCGGCGGCAAAGGTGAAGGGCACTTTGGAGCACTCCTGACTCTCTTAGTCTCTTAAGACGCAGTTCTTTCAAAAGAATTTCCTCACCTTTTCTTAAGAGCTTCGAAACGAAACCGTCTCCTCGAAGGTGGTGCTGAAGCGGTCTCCATAGAGGCGCTTCAGCGCCGCGACGCCCTGCCAAAGAAAGGAAATGTCGCCTACTACCCAAGCATACGGCGCATTGGGCCTTACCGCCGACGACCACGATCTTCGACACGTTGCCCTTGGCCTCCTCAGCAGTCACGCCCAGTCGAACCTGTTTGGCCACCTGAGAGGCAAGAGCCGTGCAAGAGACGGGTGAGGAGATTCACAGAACTAACAACTCGCTACACTTCGCTCAGGCCGTTTGTTCAACAGGCCGCTTTTACACCCGTGAACAAACTGTCGTAAACAACCCGTAAACGCTGTAAGCCATGCCATGAAATCATGAGGGGGGGGGTCTCGGCTCTCTCCGCCGAGGGTCTGCCGTGTTCACGCCTCCACAGAGGCCCTTGTCCGAGGTCACCGCCACGTAGGTGACGCCGCCCGCCTAAGTTTCATCGACAAAGCCGAGCGGCACCTTCGCCTTTCTATTCTTTGTATTTTTGCCTTGCAAGATCTTGCAGCTTGCCTTCTCCTCGACGGGCAGGCGCTGGAAGAGATTCAGCACAGGATTAGCAAAGGGCAGGCTGTTCTCCATAGTCCTGGGCACTTGATCGCTTGATGCTTCATGCGTTGCTCATGCATTGCTTCAGGGCTGGTCCTCATGTCCTTTTTGAACTTGGCCGTTGCCACCATTTTCATGGCCTCAGGGAGGGAGCCGTCCGGAGCGTGCTGTGAACGACAAACATGGCTTAGGCTGTCTCGCCTTCGTAATTTTCTGCATGTTCTTGATGGCTCTCATGCGCACGGAGAGTGTCTTCAGCGTGGCAGCACCGCGCACTTGGTCTTGACCTGCTTGGAACAAGCATGACGTGCTCGCGCTCGTAGGAGCTCGGGAGCGCTGCAGCAGCCTCAAAGTGAGGAAGGCGAAAGAGGTTTCGGGAAAGACTGTGCGATTCCGTCAGCGTGCACACATGTGCGATCACTTTGCCTGGAGAACATGGTCGCCTCGCTCACCCGTGGCCCCTGCTTCCTGCTTGCTCACTGCTCACCCGTCTTGAGAAAAAGGCAAGGATATGGAAAGGTCCGTCGGCTGTACTCGCAGCTCGCATGCATCTTCCATTGGCGCTCTTTGGGCTACGCATGTCCGCGATGTCCGCGAAACTGCTTCAAGGAGGGGTGAATCTGAGGCCAGGAAGTGCCGTGAAAGCCAGAAGTGCTTCATAGCGCTTCAGTGTTCAGTGATTGAGATTTTCGGCATTTCCCTGCTAAGCTCTCACTGCTTCGACTCCGGGTCTGCCAGCCTGAGCACACTGAGCACAGCAAGGACCTCTGATGAGCCAGAAGTCCTAAGCTCCACTAAGGGCCTAGAGCTGGACTTTGACTGTGACAGCAAGCGGTTCCCTTTTCAGCGAGCAGACATGACATGAGAAGTTCTCTGCATGCTTCTGAAGGGAAGAGATGTGAGTTACTGAAATCTGAATTGTCACGAAAGGGAAGAGATGCCTGCTTCAGAAATGTGACAGAAGGTGGAGCCGCTTGAGTCTCTCTACAGATTGAATCAGTGCATGGGCACCAAGTGTGATTGGCTCAGCAGCGCAGCCCCATCTGCACTTTTTGTTTTAGGACTGGTGTTCAACAATCGCGTGGCCATCTTTGGAAGCTGAACCCTTAAACTGACGCTCTGCTCTGGCGCCAAGGTTGGCATCTCAACGTGTCGACTCCGATGTGCCAACCAACCAATCTTGCCGTCTTACCACAATTGTTGCACTGCTCGATCGAACTCTGTCATTTCTTGCCAGATGCCAGATGCCTGGTTGGGCTGCTCGCGGAGGTGAGGGTCGGGCTCGAGTTTTCCCGCAACTCCTGGCAACCGAAAAACCTTTGCAAATGTGTATCAACGGCCCGCACACAACATGCAACAATGATGAAACTGAATCTACCTGCCCTTCCTACTCGCAAGCTTGGATCTCACTCAGACTTCTCTGCTCACGGGATTCGATGCTTTGCAATTATCCTTGCAGTTGAAAATGCGAGTAAGCATCAGTCAGCGGTGTGCATCCCCACGATCGGATTTGCACCAACAAAAGAAAGACATGCCGCTGAGCGCTGTTTGTGTATGATGAGCAGCGCAGAAACGGCCGGGCAAGGAACACAAACCCTGTTGCTGGTATTTGCTCGAGAAATGTTGTTGCGGAGAAGTCAGTGCCACAAACCATGGTCGCCGTCGCAAGCTTGTTTCTGGTTGGTTGTCGGGGAACAGCTGGGGCACCGCCTTCTTTTGTTGGTCGCCCTCCCCCCAACGTCACCAATACAACGTCGGCAATACTGAAGGTCAGTGCAACCACCAACAGCCAGCAATGTGTGAAAAGTCAACTGGTTGGACAAACCGAATTCCAGCAAACCAGAGTTGAATCGCTGTTTTGACTTCCAATGTTGTAACTCAGCTCAGCAATTGCGGAATATCCAAGCGTAATGGCAAGGTGGAATACCTCCCTACATCGTTCAGCCTCTAAGGGGACCTTGAGCCAAATTACATGGAACATTCCGCATAAAAGTAACTACCTGCAACCTAAACGACAGTGGGAAGGGATGCATTCGTACAATTACACACCCCCCACGTCGAATTTATGACTTGTCATGTGAGACGAAAGCAGGAGCTCCCTTCGTTTTGCACTTTCAAAAGCATTCCGAGCAAATAGAGTTACAAGATTTGAAATATATGGCCCGAGTCAGACTCAGAAGCCATCCTTCACATTGTGAAACTTGGTACAGCACACTCAGACGGCAAATGGAAATCCATATTGCAAAAATGTGAGCATGAGGTATCGGGTATATCCCAGAATACCGTCTCCCGTAGCGCGCCAAAATGGCGATCGGGCAGTGTGCTTTGCATTAATCCATCGCATCGATGTCGCCGGAGAAACTCGCTGTGTAGGTATGCCCTGCTCCCACTTGATCGCCAATTTGGAGCACTCCTTGGCGGAACGTAGTGGTGCGAGCCGTGGCTTTCCATTTCTCCAAGTCCCCCTGCATCCGTTTGTCGGTGATGGATCCGTTGATGGTCTTGATGACGACCCTGTCATAGCGCTTTTTGTACTCGGATCCCAGCTGCAGACCAGTTTGTACTGCGAGGTACATCAACTCAGGGTCCATCCTGTCACGTCGCTGCTGGCCTTTGTAGAGTCCTTCAAGACAGATATGGTAGACGCCATCAACAACCCTCTCCGTTGGCATTTCGCGGTAACTCACGTAGCGGTATTTCTTGATGCCGAGTGCATTCGATAGCAAGGCCCTCACTCTCGTGCTAATGAGGTTCCTCTGTCCGGTACCTTGGCTGGGACGTATCTTGCGATAGCCATCCTCATTGACCGCGATGAAGGGCATGAGGAACTCATTGATGTTCATCGTGGTGTAGGCCCAGAGAAATATGTTCCACATCATCTCGTGCACTTTGATTACCTCGTAGCAGATGTCCAGGTTGTTGCACGGAAGGAGGGACGAATCCGATGGCGTGAACCTCTTCTTGAGCATCTCCTCATTCCTGATCTCTTGGTACTGCTGTCTTCCTGGTTCCTCCCTCGCTCGCCCAATAGAGATATTCTTCTTTTGTGGGTGCACGTGGCAACTTTGTGTCTGGGTCAAGAAATGCTGGGCAAAAGAATTGCCTCTTCGCAAACGGAGTATAGTACTCGTCGACCTTTGTCTTTATCTCTGTAAAGCTCAGCGAGAGGTAATCATCGAGGATTTCGCGGCGCTGAAAGATGATGTAGCCCAACATTTCGCCAAAAGTTCTTCCGATCTCCTCGGTGTTGACACAGATCGCCGCAGGTTCTTTTGCAACGTCGTTCGAAATTGTCAGGTACTCCTCGGCGAAGTCTTCCTTCTCTCCGTATTCGTCAATGGCCACTTCAGTATCCATGAGAGTGTCATCGACAATGAT